GGTGCTGATATTGAATAATTTCTAACTTTCAAAAAATTTTAACCTGTCTTTTATGGCCCAGAATGTGGCCTATCTTGGTGAATGTTCCATGTGAGCTTGAGAAGAATTTGTATTCTGCTGTTTTTGGAGGAAGCAGTCTATAGGTGTCAATTATATCCCATTGGTTGATGATCCTGTTGAGTTTGGCTATGTCCTTTCTGATTTTCTGCCTGCTGAGTTTATCTACTTTTGAGAAAGGGGTGATATAGTTTCAAAGTATAATAGTGGAATTTCTCCTTGCAGTTCTATCATTTTTTTTTTTTTTAAAAGATGACGGGTAAGGGGATCTCAACCCTTGGCTTGGTGTTGTCAGCACCACGCTCAGCCAGTGAGCAAACCGGCCATCCCTATATAGGATCCGAACCCGTGGCCTTGGTGTTATCAGCACCGCACTCTACCGAGTGAGCCACGGGCCGGCCCTATTGTCACTGAATCTTAGTTTCCTTGTTTCCTTGTTTATCTCTGTTTATGAGACAGAGATAATCTTGAAGGATTTGAACACTAAGTGCAATATCATATGGAAATCATCTAGTATAGTGTGGGACATATGGGAGATGCAAGGCAAATGTTAGTAGTCTCAAAATACCTTCCTTTCATTTCCCTCTGGCTTTGCACTTTCTTTTTCCTTTTCATCATAACCAAATTTTCTGAAAGAGTAATCTACCCTCTGAGCCCATTTTTCTCTTGCTATTTATTCTTAAGGGAAAACAACAATGATTATTTCAGTCTTAAAATGTAATAAAGTAGATTAGTAGAATAGAATTCAGAGTTCAAATAAAAACCCATATACATACAGTCATTTGACCAGGGAACAGTCTCTTCAATGATGGTGCTAGGACAACAGGATATCCATGTGAAGTGGGACCTCTACCTCAAACCATATACAAAAATTAACTCAGAATGGATTGATGACCTAAATAGAAGAGCTGAGGGCTGGCTGGTTAGCTCAGTTGGTTAGAGTGTGGTGTTATAACATGAAGTTCAAGGGTTCATATCCCCATACCAGCCAGCTGCCTAAATAAACAAACAAACAAACAAACAAGAGCTGAAACTATAAAACTCTTAGAAGAAAATAGAGAAATATTTATGACTGTGTATTTGGCAATGGATTCCTTAATATGACATCAAAAACATGAGCAACAAAAGAACAGAAAAATTGAACTTCATTAAGATTAAAAACTTTTGTGCATAAAAGGACACTATCAAGAAAGTAAAAAGACAACCCACAGGACAAAAATTTGCAAATCATTTATCTGAAAAGTGTTGAGGATCCAGAATATATAAAGAACTCTTAAAACTCAACAACAAAAAGACAAACAATTTAATAAAAAATGGGCAAAGGACTTGAATAAACATTTTTCCAAAGAAGATAAGCAAATGGCCAATAAACTTGAAAAGATGCTCAAAACCTTTAGTCATTAAGGAAATGCAAATCAAGACCACAGTGAGATACCACTTCACACCTACTGGATGGTTCCAAAAAAATGGGAAATAACAAATGTTGGTGAGGATGTGGAGAAATTAGAACCCTTATACATTGCTACAGGAATGTAAAATGGTACAGCTGCTGTGGAAAACAGTTTGGCAATTCCTCAAAAAGTTAGATATAGAATTACCATATGGCCCAGCAATTCCACTTCTTGGTATATACCCAAAATAATTGAAAATGTGTTAAAAAAAAAAAAAACAAACTTCATACATATTCATAGCAGCAATATTCACAATAGCCAAAGGATAGAATTACCTAAATGTCCATCAACTGATGAATGGGTAAATAAATTCTGATATATGCATACAATGGAATATTATTGAGCTATAAAGAAGAACGAAGTACTGATACATGCTACAATGGGGATGAACCTTGAAAACATTATGCTAAGTGAAAGATACAAGACATAAAAGAGCATATATTGTATGAGTTCATTTATATGAAATGTCCATTATAGGCAAATTGATAATGACAGAGTAGATTAAATAGATGTCAGGGTCAGGAGGGAGGGAGGAATGGGAAAATGGGTACAGGTTTCCCTTTGGGATGATGACAGTGTTCTAGAACTAGATAGTGGTGATTGTTTGCACAACATTGTGAATGTTCTGAATTCCACTGAACTATACATTTTAAAATGGTTAAAATGGTACATTTTAAGTTATATGAGTCTTACCTCAATTATAAAAAAAGTGGGCTAAAAAAAGTAATATAGTTCTGGCTTCTGCCTAGGACATTGAAAGCTGGAAAGAGCCTTGCTTCTACCCTAACAGCAAGAAAACGTTGGATAATCTAAAAAAATCATAACTTTCTTGAGCCCATCAGAGAGATGAGATCATAGGGCAATCAACTAGTGAAATATAAAGAGGTGCCTTCAAAGAGAGAGAGGATGCAAACATTTGCCCAGTTGTGTCAGAATGTGGAAGGAAGATGAGGCCATCATACAAATAGATAAAAAGAATTCAGCTAAGATTTTTAATGGATTGCTAAAGGCTGAGCACACACTCTACAGGAAGCCTGAAAACCATACACACAAGAGGAGATTGCATCCACTTGCAGATACTTTTCCACGGACCTCCAGTGTGTGCTCATGAAAAAAACTGGTTGTGGGGACATAGTGTAAAGAAAACCTCCCTCACAGGTAAAGACTCAGAGAAGGAAAGCAGTTGCCACTGCAAGGAAAGCATCAAGCTCCATCTAGAGTATTCTTTATGTAACAAAAGCCTTAAGTCACTGGGGAAGGAGAGCAGATCTTCTTTCCCTCTCTCTTCCTACTCTGAGCAAAGGTGAAGACTCTAAATTACAGCTAGGAGGAAGGGAAAATAAAAAAGGAACTCTGTACCTTGACAGAGGTGTAGGAAACTATCTTGGGCTCAGATCATCAGAAATTTCCTACCACTGGGGGAAGGGCAAGATCACTGAGAAGACCCCACCTTCAAGAATGGGGCTGGATCAGGACAACAAAGAAGTCCTC